TGTTGACAGCTCTTTTAACTTGGATAAACAGATTATTTCTGTGATAAAACTGCTTCTTTTACCAGTGGAGATTATTGGCCAAAGTGCAGCCTTGCCTTTCTTATGACTCATGACTCAGAGTCATACATGCTCTTATTATGACAAGACTGTATTATTGTTATTCTTTGTATGTAGGAAAGAAATGGAACACAAAAACATATTACTCCAATTTTAGCTTCACTTCATTTGAGTCCTGTCAACTTTAGGTTTAATTGTAAAATTTTATTGATCATTTTTAAGTTTCTAATTGGGCTGGCACCACTGTCTTTGTCTGATCTTATTTATGCTCATACTCCTGTCAGAGCACTGAGGTCTTCTACTCAGATTATCCTCAATAGTCTGAGATTTAGCCTTTAAAAATAGTGGACACAGAGCTCTCAAATTGTGTCCCTGAGTCTCTGGAATGCCTTATTATTTCATATTAGAACTGACCAAACAGCTGCTACATTCAAGTCATTCCTCAGAACTCATTTCTACTCTCTGGCCTTCATGTCGAGCTAAATCTAGACATCTTGTAATTATTTTGTTTGTTGTTATTGACAGCCTGTGAAGCACTTTGGTCAACCGTGGTTGTTTTAAATGTCCTATACCAATAAACTTGACCTTGATGGTTTTTTAAAAGCCTTTGGACCTTTGGACAAACCTTTTAATTATACGCTGTGTCACACTGCTCGTTGTAATCCGGTTTTATATCGGATAGCAGCGTTTCTGCTTGCTTAAATGGGAAATAAGTGAACAGTTAAAGTAAGATTTCTACTCGGCTCCACATGAGATGGTGAGACACACGAGACATGGTTCTTCTAGGAAGAAAACAACAGTTTCTAAGCTCTCACAAGTAATTACTTTGCCACAGTTGAAGTAACAGTAGTAGCTTTACATCATGGGAGTTGGATATAATTATGATTTTGTGTTTTTCTGCCAAACAGAATCTGAAGCAGTGGCCCAGTCTTCAGAAAACACATGTGTATTGTTTAGACAACATGTTTTATTACAGATACTTGCCTTCTGTCTTCAACTAATCTAATCCTCTTTTGTTCCAACAGAAAATAAAGCGTGTGTACACGTCTGAATTTAAACCATACGTGGTGTTTGTCAAGCCACCACGCATAGAGGAGCTACGCCTCACCAGACGGAGAGCTAAATTTGTCTGCGATCAAGAGGATACTAACCAAGTCAGGATCTTTTCAGTAAGAAAAAACACACACAATCCAGCAATTGCATGGTGCATTAAGGTTCCTGTTCCATGTAACACACATGACAGTATGAGGACAAACATTGTGGCACACGCCCCGAACTAACACACACCTTAGTTTACACTGGTCCTGTGGTTTGCATTTAGAAGACATGGGAAGTTACAAAACTGCTTTCTGATTGGCTCCTTCTCCAGTACGATAACATCTAAGGAAGCGTATTTGTGTCAGAGATATAAGTTTCAGCTTATGTGTGATATTGATCATGATTTAAATGGGAAAAACTAAAAGAAAACACAAACAAAAACCTGTAACAATAAATAGGCAATAGCAAGGAATCACATTAAATAGGGAAACAAACTTAAATTATTCACCAAATTGATGTAGACTGAAGAGTCTGTGCATTTTATATTGTTCTGTTGAGTACCTGCTCACTTTAACCTCCTAAGACCCGAATTCTTCACGGCATGCATTTTTAATCTCTCTTTGCTATTTGGGCTGACTGGGACCCGATGAATGTAAAAACAAAGAATTACATGATTTATTTATTTATTTTACCTGATTTTTGTTTCTGAGAAAAATGAGATCCACATAAGAGGACATTCACTTTAAATTTCAATAGGACAGTGGCAGTATAATGTCCTCGTAAGTGGATATCAGGCCCTTGTAGAGCAAAATTTAGTATTTTGGTCTAGACAACCCAAAATGTGATGTCCACATATCTGGACGCAGGTCCTAGGGGTTTAAAGCTGGAGCATCTGAAGTTGATGGGGCACAGCGGAATCAAAACATGCTAAGTAACTTTAAAAATGCCCATCTGGGTTCAGATTCATTGTTTGGCCACATGTGCCCAGGTTGCCTTTATCAAACCCACAAGGTGATGCAGCTGTGTTGCAGTAAGTTTTTGGTACTGTCCATTCAGAGTTGAGGCTCGTCTCAAAGGGCTGTGTTTTCAACTTGCGTGAAAAGGCTTCTTGTGCCTTAGCCGACAACTTGTCACATATCGGCATAATTTTTGTATGTCTGCAAAAGACTGGACAAGTGGAGAACAAAAGAAGAAGTGACAAGCCTAAAAAAATATATACAACTGTTGATCTGTATCTGAAAGCCAGAAAAGGCCTTTGAGTTGATCCATATACTGTTTACTGAAACCTCATCAGACATCTCAGTGTGACGTTTTTGGTTAAAATCGTCATCAATATTAGACAGAGGAGGTCAGGAGAGAGGTAAGTTGAGCTACAGCTGTAAAACACAGTGGAGGCTCTGTCATGGTTTGTGGGTTTAGCCACTAGTACTGAAGATTTTGTCAAAATCGACGGAATTATGAGCACAGAAACCTACCGTCAGATTTGTATGATGCAGTAACTTTTGGAAAGCATTTGTTTAGCAACAGCTTCATTTCTCAGCACCACAGTGATCCCAAACACACTGCCAATGCAGTAAAGTCACACCTGGCTTTCCCAGAGGCCGGACCTCAAATTTATTGAAGCAGTGTGGGATCATCTTGACAGAGAAGGCAACAAAAGGCAGCCAACATCCAAAGAAGAGCTTTGAATGTCCTTCAAGAAGCCTGGAGAACTATTTCTGAAGACTACTGTGAGAAATGAGAGAAACTGCGTTGAAGAATAAAGGTGGTCATATCAAATATTGCCTTTCAACTGCACAAACTGATTTTGCCAGTACTTCCATTTATGTTTACACATTTCAGTACATTACTGCACCTATCTCCCATTCTCCTGACAAAATATAAAGAAATGAGCAGTCGTTTTGCACAACACTGTACACCACTCCATCTACGGATAGAATCTTTGTTGTCTGATGGATACTGGTGACGCTATTTTCCTTTCACAGGAGGCGGATTTTCAGGACATGATTGACTTGGCTGAAAACATGGAGCGCCAGTACGGTCACCTGTTTGACAAGGTGATTGTTAATGGCGATATCGCCTCTGCGTTCAGAGAGCTGAGGTCAGACCTCGAGAAGATTCAGGAGGCACGGGTCCAGTGGGTGCCCACAGAGTGGAGCTGCTCCTCACCAACAAAAGCACGGAGAAGCTGTAGTCATCTGCCCAGCTGGATTTGAGATTTATATATGAAGTTAGTAAGAAAAACAAATTAATAAAAATATAACATAGCTGTATGTAATGTGTCATTTTACAACAAACAACATGGAAGACTGAATTTCATATTTTAAACATATTTTAATCCTGGGCTAAACAAAAGCTGCGATTTCTAAAGTTTTCCATATTGTCTTTTGTGCGCATCCAGTTAGGCAGAATCCATTTCTCCACCTCTCTCCATCTCTCTCTCCCTCCATCTGTCTCTGCTCCTGCTTTTCTGTTGGCATTTGGCTGAAAACATTTCAGTTTGCAGAAGAAGAACAAGAAGAAGGGGGAAAAAAGGAAACTCTCCAGAGCTTGTGGCTGAGTGTAATGCCTCCCTGCCAAGTCGCAAACATCAGCATGTAATTATTCTGACAGCTGCTGCACTTCAATTAACTGTAATGTACACCAGAGAAATATTATTAGTAGCAGTCAGGGAGGCTTTTTTTGCCAGCTACATGCTATATGGAGCAGGGACACAAACACGATAATAATCATAAACTTTTGCTGAAGCAAGATGGAAAAAACGTTTTATAATTGCAAACAGCAGAATGGTGCAAATACTGCAAAGACCCAAAGGTGCAGCAAGTCCAATAACTAATTGTTAAATGCTCTATTCTGAAAATCACCTTTGTTATAGAACATTAACCACAACGAGGTGTCTTTTACCCGAAACAATTGACAGAAACTCACCATTAGTGACACTCCATTAACAAATACTCATATTTGAGCATCACAGCTGGTCGTCGGGTACAAATTTTACTCCTCTCACTCACACATGGCGGGTAATCCAATGTTTTTATGACTACATTTCTCTACAGCCGTGGTGTTTCCTTCCTCTTTTTGGATGGTGTGCTCAATTGGGGGTGAAGGAGTGTTAATGGCTCTATCGTGTCGTGTTTGCGAGGAAGAGAGAGCAGTGTGATGTGGGGAGACGGTAATGGCTTTCAAGGGACGTAGGCCTTCGTAGACGTACGGAGAGAAGTTATGACGACATATAAAATTGTACTTTAAAAACACAGTGAAGCTAGACGTAGTCGATCGGGCTGCAGCAGTAAAGAGAGCATCATCGAGTCTCAAATATTTATTTGTCTTTGGAAAGCTTATTGTAAGAGTCAAACATAACTGAGAGGACGCAGACAGCATAGATGCATCCACTGGTATGTCTGCATTTCTTTCTTTCTTATTTTCTATTTTAAATGCAGACTCTCAAGACAACACTCGACACTCTTGCCAGGTCTGAAGCCCAACCTGAGCCAAAGCGTGGCAGTGTAATTTCATCACACCGCTGAGAATCTGCAGGCACCCTCTGAGATCATAATGATGCCATTAAAGACACCAGAGTGCTCCAATGAAAACCCGCCGTTTTATGTTCAGAGTAGCTCCCACTTCAAACATTACACAGAAGTATGATGTCAATTGGTCTCGGATAATTTGGCTCAGTCGTGTAGCTGTCTATCTGAAGAATGTAACAATAAATACAACCAATGTTAAACAACATCTAGTTTGTTAGCAGGAAACGTTCATTACTTTTAAACAACCGACACAGTAAAGCACATGGTAAAAATATATGGGAGATACTTACACAAACCTAAAGCAGGAAGGGAAAGGTTTTTAGTTTATTGCAGAATAGACTAAGATTTAATGTCAGCACAAATGAGTCTTTGGCTGAATCATTTGTGCTGACATTGACCCAAAACAACTTTGCAACACAAAAATCTCAAAAAGACAATTTTGCAACCAATAAAGAATCAAATTCGAATTTTCACCTTAACTTTTTTGCTCTGTTTTGGGTCCACCCACTCCAGAGGCAAATGGCTAGCTCCTTAGCCGCTAAATGCTACACGGCGTTCATGAGCTTGTCACCAAGTTTGTCAGTTCGCTCAAGGCCATGAAGACATGCTAACGCTTTGTCTTCATGGCCTTGGTAGGTCCTTAGGGACTAGTAAAGTGCTATACAAATACAAGCCATTTACCATTTTACCATTCATCAGAGCATAACATCATTAGCGTTGAAGAAATAATAATTGAAGAAATAGACTAAGTTTTATGCTAGCACTACCTATTTATCTTGGCGCTACAGTTATTTGATTTTGATTAGCACCATGTCTGAATGTACCGGGGAAATGCATCCTCTTCAGAAACTTAATTTGTCAGTTTATTGTTAATTGCTAACTAATTAGAGTACTTGAGCTGCTTCATTTCCACTAACTGCAGGCTGTAAACTAAAACAATTAGCTAAAAAATGCTGAAATGCTAAAATAGGACACAGCGCCAGCAGCATGCAACAGAATCTACAACATTTGACAGCGCTATCAATAATTGTCTGTTTGAACCAAACAAATTAGAAATAATAATAATAAAAAGAATGCTTGGCGATCTGTTTTTCTGCTTCACACTTTGCTGGGTGTTTGTCCCTTTGGATAGGCCTGGAGTTTGTGAACCTGCACGACACATACACAGACACAAGTGCCAAAGTATCCAAACAAAGCGAGATATATATCCTTCCACTTGAATTTTTTACAGGTCTCCTGGCTGCCAAATGTAGGCGTGTTCCCAGCTAATATCAACAGTTGAGCCGGTGAACATATCACAGAGGGACAGGAGTAAATGGTGTGAGATAGCATGTAGCCTTTTCCGACTGCTGCCGAGGAATGTGAGCAAGGAATTTACAGCACCTAACGGGGACGCTTCTGGTACATGTGTTTTTCAGCTTTGAAAGCACTGAAACTCAACCTCCCCCGCTGATAGTCCTGAATTATGAATGTGGACTTTTTAGAGTGCTTTAATACACCGAACAAGTGCTACTTGGATTTTAGCCACAATTTCCAAAGTTTAAACTGCAGCCAGGATGACCAAAACCCCATTTTATCACAAATGTTTGCTTAAAGATTATTAAGTTATGATTGTGCATGGCAAAGTCATCAGTGTATATCCAAACACTCTTACATAAGAGTGTTTAGAGGAAAAACATACGTGAATTACAGCTTAAGCCGAGCCATCCAGTCTTCAAATACTGGGCTCAGAGCCCACATGTTGTCATTTAGTTACACTAATGATGATGTTAGAGTTCCTTCAGACTGAGTTTCCATAATTATTTACAGTCCCGGTTGCTCAAAAATGGGGACCCACACTGACAAATATGCGCATTATCTTTGGATTAACCCTACTCCCAGTGCAAAGGGATGCAATGCAGTCCTGACACTCAAATAAATACGTAGACTTTAAAAACTTTAAACCCCAGACGCAACACAAACTCATAATTACACACACACAGTTTAATGTCCTTTTCTTGTGTTTGTGTGGCCTCTGTGGATTGGCCAATTTGTACTGAAATCCATCTGAAAACAGCAGGATTTGCTGCCTATCACAGGGCACAGCACCGTGGTTTTGCTGGTTATAAGTAACCGTGTAATTACACGCATAAATTTCCAGAATCTCTTGGTAAAACATGTACTATTATTTGCTGACACGGTTTTTGGTAAAACCGCAAGGTCCACATGAATCATGTGCCTCATGTAGAAAATATGAGGGCATGTTGAACTGCTTAGCACAGACGGCAGTCACACCAAACAAAAAACTCACTTGTAAATCTAATGACCGCATTTGCTGATATTCTTTTCATGTGCAATCTCGCTCAAACCGTCGGGTGCTACCGCTGCTCTGCAAGCTTTGCCTCACAGACCCCTCCACAGAAGCGATTGGACGGTGGGGGGAGCCAATAGGCGGCGGAGCAGCAGGTTATTTGAACTCTCCTCGCACAACATCATCTGACTTTTCAAACATCATTCTCCTCTTCTGTCTGTCAACGTCTGTTCCCGAGAGCACCGAAAGAAAAGCAAGGGACACTTTTATTTTTAACCTATTCCTTTTTACACCAAGTCTACCAAGAATGGGAATCTACTGCCTTTCTTTACATCTGGGAGTTTACTGATGCACCTGTTGATTGAGGAAGACTCGGCGCGTTTAAGAATGAACAAAGTTGCTGTGATGAAGTCTGAGCTTCACTTGGACGACGACAGGAGAGCAGAGGAGAGGAACAGACTGAACTGTGCAAACGTACCTCAGACAAGTTTAGCAGAAGGACAGAGCGCGGACCTGCTGCGATGCCAAGAGTCCGCAGAACACAACTCTGCCATGAAGTACAGAAGATATGGGTATTTTATCATTTTTTTGCTTGTTTTTATGGCAGAAAAACACATTAAACCTATAAAGAATCTAAAATAATGCTGCGATCTCAGATCTTGTACTTCTTTGGATATCTACGCTTTGATTAAATTAATTGCATGACATAATTTAATCAAATTTGACAGTGAAGTAGATCAAAAGTATTGCTACAGTGCTACAATCAGGTTACAGGTAAGCATGCTGGACAATGTTTGTTGACCTCTTACTCCTTCAGGTCCCGTCTGACTGGCGTAAAAGTTCGTCACAAAAGACAGGTGTTGCAGGACATGGCCCGGCCCCTGAAACACTGGTTATACAAACACCGGGACAACCCCTACCCCACTAAAACCGAGAAGGTCCTACTGGCTTTGGGCTCGCACATGACACTAGTACAGGTGAGACGAGCTCACGCAAGAAAGAAGAATGAAGCAAAAGTGATTTGAAAGATGTATTAGTGCTGATTTATGCGAGTCAGTGCTGTCCTAAAAAAAACACAGCGGCATCTGTGCAGGTTTCCAACTGGTTTGCAAACGCCCGACGAAGGCTGAAGAACACAGTGAGGCAGCCAGACCTGAGCTGGGCCCTGAGGATCAAACTATACAATAAATATATCCAGGGAAACGCGGAGAGGCTGAGCATGTGCAGTGATGACACTGACTCAGAGGGTAAGGACCTTCAGGGAATTAATAGTTTCTAAGTCATCAGACTGGATGTACCCACTCTCTCTTTTTTAATCATAGTTTGTAACATTTCATATTCACTGATATGAATCGATTCAGTGTGAAATCAGTGACAGCTTTGTTTCCTTTGCTGCAGATGAAGAATGTCCCTTACAGACTCCCATCAGCCAGTCAAACTTCCGCAGGTCATCATCCCACAAGAGCGTGCTGGAGAAACAAGGCAACATGCTCACCATGGCTGACTGCGCCAACAGTGACGACAGCACGTCCCCTCCTTCCAAGTACAAGAGCAGCTTACTGAATCGCTACCTGAACGACACCCTGCGGCACATGATGGTGGCAAAGGCCGATGGTGTTGCGCCAGCCTGCAAGAGAAGAAGCCACTCCGAGTCGTTCAGTTCAAACGAATGTGATGGAGATGTCGTCTCGCCGGCATCGTCCTATGAAACAGAGACCAACTTTGTCTACCACATGGGTGAGACCTGTTTCTTTTCTAACACAAATGCAATATATGTATGTGTTAATACAGGAATTTAGAAAGATGTGATGCAATATCAGCTCCATGCATCAATCAGCAATCAAAAACAGCACAGTAGTCTAGAAATGGTAGGATCTCCCCCCATCCATAGAAATTACTAAAGCATCTTCCTTGTTAATTGTGGATTTATGCTGAATGTGAGGCAAACTGACAGTTTAACTACCCTGTTTCCCCTCTGTTCAATTTTAACACACCACAGTGTACAGTAAAGTAAGAACAGAACGAACAGAAACTTCCACATGGCTCCTCTGAGCGCCCTGATATTAATAAATCTCTGGCACTCCACTGGAAGTCAGAAGCTCTGTGAGATTCAATTATAAAGTTAGAGGGAAAGTGGGAGGGAGTTTGACACCTGGGTGCCCTTTCAGACCTATAGGGAGCACAGCAAACTGACAAGCCTCGAATCCGCTAAAGTGCAAGAGCCAAAGCCTCTACAAACATTACTAATAAAGTCTCATGCAGACGCTGAAATCCCTCATTTTAAAATTGGATGGAGCTCGCCCTGGCTGCTGCTGCACACCGCAAATATCATTTCCATATTCTAGAATGTGCCATTTGTTCCGCTTCAGCTTCTTGCCATGGTGGAAATGTCCAGTCCAGTCTCAAGGACAATTACAGAATGTCTGAGACTTTATTCTTCCCAGGGTGAGAAGTGGAAACCTTGGCCAAATGCAGAAATGGAGCAGTCTGTCAGGACTACACCGGAGAGGTCTCATAGAGCGACTGTCGGTGCTGCCACTCATCTGTGAGACAGCGCAGAGCAAGACCACTAATATCCATTTGGCTTCCCCCTTTGGTGTTTGAAGTTGTGGCTTCGCTCTCTCGACTGCTATGTGCTTTGGCAGTCTGGTTCTCCCAAGTGTTACTTTCTTACTCAAAGTCAATCTAAATTTACATTACATTATAAAAGTTGTGAAAAGATTTTTGAAACCAGTTCTGCTCTTTAGCGCTTCTCTTTAGTTTGACTCTAAAATCAAAAAAGGTTCTGTTTTATTATGTTAAGAGTAGTTTCCTGGCAATCACCTTGTTCCAGTCTAAAGAAGTTATTTAATGGATAATTTTATTTTCTGTGAAAGCTAAATTAAATGTCATGGCTGACTTGAAAAACCTGGGGAGTAAATTACAGTCTAAGAAAGAAACATATGTAGATAAATAAACCACTGAACTTATATTCCACATGAAATATAATGCCTTGCCTCAACTGTTATCTATCTAGACAGTATAAAATAATGTAAGACGTGCCGCTTCTTAATCGCAAAAACTATTTTTAATCGATTAAAACAACAAAAAAGATATTTCGTTATTTAGGGGGTTAGCATTTTTGCCATTGCCACTTTGGTTTACTTTGGCAAAAGTTCAAATATTTAGGCTAGTTGTTATCAGCTAATGCTAGGAAGCTTAATTAGCTGCACTTATAAACTATTCAGTAAGTGTCACTCACCAAAACTGAAGCACAAACTTCTTGAATGGGATGTAAAATATAACAGGTCATATTATCTTTTAGATAAATCCATGTAAAGGAACCAACACCCATTTCAGTGACTTAAACCTAGCAAACAGCTCTCGTCACAATGGCCATACACCTAACTTTAGGTCTTACTGAAACCTTGAACAGTGAGATATAAATGAAGATGGGATAGATCAGTGTTGCCAACTCCTTAGTAAGGAAAACTGCTATTAAGATAATTGGTCATGCTTATGTAATTGTAACCTACATTGTAGGAGGGAGAAATAACATTGTGGAAAAGACATAAAGTGAATAAAAAAAAACACCCTAAATGCATTTAGAATATATTTAGATCTACAAATTAAATTTCTTTTAGCAATTATTGTTTATTTTTATGTCAGAATTCCAACCCTCCTCCTTTATCCGGGCTTGGGACCAGCAAAAGTGACCCGAAATAGGCACTCTGGCGCAGCAACTTTGTGTGTTTGTGTGTGTGTTTAAGTAGTTTTAAACCTTGTGATCCACAAAAAGTAACAGTAAAAGAAGAACTGACTGCGTTACAGTCAGGGCAGGAGCTAATGCGCGATTCATTTGGAGTTTGGAAGCAAGGTGTTAACATCTCCTGCTCTGACAGCAGCTGGGGGTGACTGCTGCGTAAGGACTATCCGCCGCCTGTGAGTGCTATAGCACGGGTGAGGTACCCACGGCAGCACCCGCTGCTTGTTAAGAGTAAGAGCGATATGTGCTTTCACGTCAAAAATTCATTATAAGTCTCCAATAACACCAGCAAAAGTCGCCAGATTTGTCACTAGTCGCTTTTTAGAAAAAAAGTTGCTAAATATAGCAAAAAAGTCGCTAAGTTGGCAACACTGGGATAGATAAATGAAGACAAAATTAGCTATAGCAACCAAAATTGTTAGCTAGCGTCATGTGGCCATCGAAGGAATTGCGTCTTTTTGCACGTCCACATTTCGTCCTGTTTCAGCCCTGGTTGTGGCTACTTGGTAACAGATCAAACAATACTTTGTAGTGTTACAAACCTATACTAACTTCAGGTTAAAAACAATGGTTGATTTTCAACACTGAAAGGAATTCTTGTCAAATGACACATGCAACAGTACTGGTTGCTTACAGAAATGAATGTTCTTCTATCTGGCAGTCCATCATCAGTGAGTCAGGGCTTCTTTAAGCCATCCTACACTTTATAACGTTGTACTCCTCTTTATCTTAAAGTATAGAATGCCAAAACATGGCATTCCTGCATGGTGGAAAGACACAACTAAAGGAATATTACATTAGCTTTGTTAGCAAATGTAAATTCTTTTTTAATAATTTTTGACCAGTAATTATAGTTTAAATGCATTTTTCAGTCAATAAATCAACATTTTTTTGTTTATAATTCAGTTATCTGTCTCTGCATGTAACTAGTTAATAGGCAACACTATTTACAGAAAGAGTCCAAACAAGCTCAGTTATTTCGATCAACTTGAGCTCAGCTTAGCTGGTAGACATAGAATAATTCTTGAGGTCAACTCTATTTCCCAAAATGCTGAACCATTCCTGTAAGTGTGTAATATACTCACTTGAAATTATATTTCTTTTGGTGGTTCTTTGAGGTTTTCATGATGTCATCAAACACTACATGCAGCACTGCTGAAATGTTTTTACAAACTTTTAATGTATCCCTGACGGTCATATTAAGGGTGTTTGCAACGTTTGCAACTCCTCTGTGGAGGTGAAGTGGAAAGTTAAGCTGCCAGCTTCATGACAGGCGCTAACACCATTAACACATTTAACTCTGCCCGGGAGACGATTAAAACAGTCACTAAACTCAAAGTGATTGGCTAATAGGTGATGCCACTACACACTAACCTACGAGGACACCTAAAAGATATCGGTTTATTTCCCACAGGCAGTAAAAGTCTAGTAGCAGAGTCTATGTTTGCAATGTGAGTATTGGCTGTGTAGTAATTTTCTATACTATATAATTTGACACTCACAGCAAGTTCAGTATTTCCCTTAAAAAGCCTGGAGGGCCATGAACTAGACTAGAATGAGGTTTTATTGGATGCGGAGCAGTGAAATGCATAACTAGAGAAAAAACTCACTGTGTTTTCTACCTGTTTTGTTTCTAGTGAAAGCATAGATTTGGAGAGTGAAGGTTTTTGTTTCGTATATGCTGTATTGTGGATCTGAATTATACATCTGGGAAAAAATTCATAATCACTGACACTGGGACATGTGAGCGGTTTTCAACTTATATTGTGGGAGAGCGCCAAGGTTTTAAAGATCTCATGTAGATATTAATTCATTGTCTGGTGATCTGTTAATATTTTATTACTAAATAGTATTGAGGTTTTGCAAACTTGTGACCACTAACCGCATCATTTTAACATGTCCACCATTTTGGACATGTGGCAATGTAGGATCAGGTGAATAAGGCACCAGTCACACAGACCTAGAGACCGGTCCATGACCATCAAGCAAATGTATTCCCTAACCTGCATTTGCTGCAAAATCGATTGCTAAGAACCAATCATCCAAGCTTAGAAACCAGCCAGTGACAACCCAACAATTACTAGTCACTAGCAGAGTGTTGCGGTCTTCCGTAGTTTGTATAAAGCACATCGGCTTATCTGAAAATACTAACTAGCTACTCTCTGCAGTAGTGAAATAGTGAAAAATGTAACACAGACCAGAAATGGAGCCTGTGCTGAGACGCAACTTTTATTTAGAAGGCAAACGCTTTACATTTATAGTTTTCAAGCTTTGCTATCACTTGGCAAGTAGTTAGCAAATGTTTGTGGAAAATTTGGTATCATACACATTAATGGCCAAAGCCACATCTTTGTAACTAAAATGACCTAGTGCCAGCCAGCAACTTCCAACAACCAATCTCCAACCAGGCTGTTTATACAGAGTTTTCCCTCATGACCGGTGGCTGTATGTGGCTGTGGCACAACCAATATGACCAAAAACTCTCAAACAATGTGTACATGACAACATGCCAGAAACCTGCATAAGTTAGACAATGTTAACACAAAAGTTATGTTACTTTTTCGAATTTAAAGAAATTCAAATTTTATTAGTAGATTAGTAATACGTTTAGCATGGTTAGCTTAGCTTAGCTTAGCTTAGCATAGCCCAAACAGTAGGGAAAACAGCCTCTTTCCAAATGTAAAAATATTGCGTTTCTGAACTTATTAATTATACCATCTGTTCAGTCATACCATCTACACACAAAAAAACCAAATTGTAAAAACATCAAATAGAGTTTTACAGGTTAGGCACCATATTGTTTTTAACGACATTGCTATGTAACTACTACATGTTTCTAAACTTTGGCATTTATTGAAACAAATATGGTATATCCATCAAAAAGTGGATTTTGTTACTTCGAGACAGTTTTTACTGAGCTAAATTAACTCGCTTGCTTGCTTTAGTTTTATGGGCTATTTGCTATACAGACATTTGAGTGCCATCATTCTTGTCGTTGTACTCGGCAACAAAATGAAATAGTTTGTTTCTTTTTAATATGAAACCATCCCTTATATGGCCATAATTATGGATCCAACATGAAATGACATTGCATCACTGCGGGACAATGTAATAGCAGGGAGACGTCTCAGCAGCTTCATGTTACCCCTTGTAAAATTTTGTTGTAACTGATCTTTGCTGCAAATCTAAGACTCACCAGAGCTGAAACAATGTTTTTTCGGGGTAATAAATACAACTGAGGTACTAAACTATTTTACTGGCGAGGTTATAGGCTGAAGAACATTCGGTAGCAAAAGAAAAGCATAAGACAGCAAAATGATTTACTATCAACAAGTAGTTGCTTTTGGCCCTGGCCTATGTTTTTTCACAGTCAGAGATGGGAATGTTTCGGGCTGTTAGCATTGAAAGACTGCGTTTCACAGCAGACCTCTAATTTCCCTGTCTAGTCCTCTCTGAAGAAAAATCCGTTTTTGACCGGCTTCAATCTGCTCCAGTGAAAATAGGCAATATTCCAAAGCTGAAATGGAAAATATGTTTTACATATAATGCACACTTTATATGCTGACCACAAACAGAAAGCATGTAGCGATATATTACTGAGAAGGTTTTTTTTTTCTTCTCTTGCTCCTAAAAATGCCCAGATTGTTTCTATTTAGGGCACTGACAGATCAACTCATCCTTCTTTCTTTAACAGGTTTAGATGATGGTCGTATTCATTTATGTGACCCATATGGCTATTAAAAAAACATGAAAACAGGGTGTCCAAAAGATACAGTGTACATTTAAGATTGTTTTCTCCCTCTTGAACGCTCAACACTGAACAGCAGTTGAATAGTTGAGGACAGACAGACCAATACACTTGTCAGTATGTTAAAATCCATCCAGAGACACAAACATATAAGAATGTACTGCCATTCAGACATACACAGCCACACACAAGCCCATGGGTATCCACAAAAAAACATGTATTTATCACTAATATATGATTCCAAAGCTTAATCCAAACACTCATTGTCCCATGACTAAACTGTCTGTAGTTGCACTGCTGTCGAGTCGAACTGATTCATGGCACGTTTTGAGTCTTTTTATTCTCTTTTACAGATACAAGCGACTACAATTCAACTAAATGTGACAGGTAAGTTTACTCATTCATTACTGAATACATACATTTTATAATCTCACTGAAATCAAACCACTAATCATCTGACTTTTATAAAGAGATGCTTTTTTTTGTGGGTTTTTTTGGCTCTGGATATCTGAAATTGGCATTTAGATCATTTTTTTTAAAGGAAGGCGTGGGTGATAATAAATTATCTACAAATGATATGTGTATACTCTATATGTATGTATGTATTCACAGAGACCAGCAGCCACTCAGAGGCCAGCAGAGACAACATGACCAAGGCTGGAGGGAAATCCACGCTGCTGTGGCTCTGACAAGCTTGGCCCAGGGGCAGAGCTGCACTGCAGACCAGAGCAGTGCTCCAGTGTCCAGCGCTGCCACAGGGCAGAGCTACACCCGAGGGCCTCTCTCTGTAGCAAAGACCACTATCACAGACGGGATGAGCAACACAGGATCTGCCTCAGGTCTACAGCAGAGCTGTGCCACCAGGCCCGCTCTCACCAACCGCATCATCCAGAAATCCTCTCATATCTCTGAGGTCCAGACTGTCAAAGTCTCACTGGCAAACAGTGTGTAGGCATTAAACATGTTGTTTCATACAGGAAAACCAGACGTCCACGTGCCTTGCGATATATATATATATGTACAGCCTCTGAGATCTTTGTTTTGTAATGCTGATTAACTTGTTTGTAACCATTTTTAACACTAACCTAATGCTGTTTATTAGTTGTTACTGTTTTTTGCTATGTTCCTCTTGCCCCCCTCTGTTGCAGTAAGTTATATTAACTTCCAAGAGACTGGATCATCATCCAATGCTAATGTTTGACAGCAGCTATTTCAATAAACCTAATGTGAAATCTTTTGAATAGTCGTGTGCTTAGAGTAATTTCTATGCACAGTTTTATTTTGCTGAGCTGTATTTAGTCTTAGTTTTCACGTGTGCAGACGTACGTGGTGAAGTTTTCCTGCATCGTTACACAAACTGGATTTTAAAAGGGTTGTACTGATGGAAGAAGAGTTATAGTGGCCCAGGGAGACAGTTCCTGGAGGGAACATGGAGGGAAGGCTAGAAACAGACATCGGCCAAATCCTATTTTCCTGTTACAAACTTGGAGCTGCCATATTAATACTTCTTTAAAAACAATGGTTCCATTGTCTGATGTGAATGCGGGTTTTCACAGTGATGAAACCACAGCATTTGGAGCTCTTTGAACTCACTTAAATCATTGTTTTTTACCTTATGATGCATGTCTTCAGTGTTTTAGCCAAACCATAAGTAGATGTTCTTGAAGAGTACTGGCCACACACTAGACATGGATAGCAGCTATCTAGTGAACAAGGAAGAAGCATTCAAAGAGCTGATAATGTATGATTTCCTAAAGATGCTAGTTTGTGCTAAAAGAACAGACACTGAACAAGTTACCAGAAACACATCACCCAGTGTGTCTCTGTGTTCTCTTCTCTTTCCCCTCACTGCCAACATTTGTGATGAATAGGTGCCCCTCCCTGGGCCACATTCAGCTGCAGGTTTCTTCCTGTTAAAAGGGAGTTTTTCCTTCCCACTTTCGCCAAGTGCTTGCTTATAGGAGGTTTGCTTGATTGTTGGGCTTATATTACTGTTGGTTCTTTACCTTACAATATGAAGCCCTTTGAGATTATTTATATAGCACCACTTCCCGTCAACAAATTTGTATATAACTCTATAGCTAACAAATCCCCATAACCATTTACAAAGAGATAGTAATGTTGTAGTAGTAATGTACACAGAGACCCCACCCAAGCAGCTCGAATGTAAGGTTTTTGTTAAGTTTCAAATGGAATTGCCCCTGTGGTGTCATGGAATAATAACGTAAGCTGCTCTCAATAGATGTGCTCTGTTTTAAAAATCAACCTTTTCATTTTCCTGGAACAGCAAAGATCACAATGAAACATTCACAAATGTTTTTAATTTATTTTATATTGAATGACATTTCAGGAATTCTATTTCCTCCACACACACGATCAGCTGCAGAAAATAAATAATGGAAATACCAAGTACCCTTCAGGCTTCAGAAGAATGTCTCGTCCTGTTGCATCTGGGGACATCCTGACATCAAGCTTGTAATCACATACTGGAACTTTTTTTTTTAAACAACATGATTAACTGGATTTTTCCACACGTCCCAGTTTTGGTCTGTTTTTTGTTTTTTTTTGTTTTTTTTGTTGCAAGGAATGTTTTCAGTCTTACATGTGCAGGAGGCTAGTCATCAACAAAGTATTATGGAAAGAGCGCCTCACTTGAAGTTTCCACTGTAAACCTGCTTTTGATTAGGTGGGCTTCTACACAACACGGAAACTAAAAGGCAGATCCCACAGGGCCATTAAACAACAGACACGAGTGACGGCATCTTGAGGTTTGTCATTTATTTCAGTTTGAAACAATTCAAACGTTAATTGACCATAACTCTAGCAAATGCATCTCGATATTAAGGCAGATATCGATTTAACATATTACTTTATATGATTTAAACAGATGCACAGCAAAAGCAATGGGGGAGCGGGGGGAGAGAGAAAGGGTGTAGCAGGGCGAAGAGTTCAACATCATTTTTTATCGAGAAAACAGAAACAAACAGCAAAAACACATTAAGTTCATAATATACTGAAGATGGGAAAGAACACAGCTATGTTAAGTATGAAATACCTTCAATAAACCTGGACGACACTAAATGAATCCTTCAAAATAAATGCGAAAACAAGATTACAGGTCAAAGTTTAGTATTAAAAAACAATCTATGAGCTCAAGTGCATAAAAAGCTACATTTTATTGCAAGAGCTCGTGGTACTGTAAACTTTACACTTGTAGCTCTAGAAGTTACCGTCCAGATCACGCATGCAAAGACAGAGATGGGTTCGGTTACTGGAAATCCTGCAAGACAAAGTTGATCACTTTTCTTGCACATTTTCACGCCAAAAGAAATAAACACAGGAAATCAATTAGTTTGAAGGCATCTAAACAGTCTGAAGCAGAGAATCGACATAATAGACAAACAGACAACACACGAGTGAACAGAAAAGATGATGTCAGTAACTGGGTGACGGTTGGGGTGTCATTGGAAAAGGTTCGATTTTGGAGAATTCACAGTGTTCTCGTGTGCACTGAAATGAAAACCTGCATTAGCCTGGATGTTTCCCACCCTAATCCTCAATCCAAGTGCTATAGTATGTGTTTAATAAAGCTTCCTAATATATGTATGGCAGAAGATTTTGTACTTTGCAGCTACATAGAAGGTGAGATTTGTGAAGAGATGAAGGAGACTTCAATTAATTTATTCGATTAAAATCTGACAGGCTGTCTATTCTAACCACAAAATCGGTCCACGCTGAAAGAACTGTGTAACCTGAAGTCTTAATGTACAGCTGAGCCACCAAGATAAATTCAAACCATACATACTCGGATGACAGACTCATACTCCACGTGGTTAATTTAAAACACCCACCTCAAACACGAGGCTCTTTTTCTGCGTGATTCTTTTAAACAGGAAGTAGTGATATATAAGTGATGGAAAAGGAAGTGTGCAAACAGCAGTGTCTGTTTCGACCGACTGACGTACTCCCGACAAATAAAAAGGCGCTCATCCACTTCCACCTCTCGCTCGCTCTCCGTTTCCCGTCACTAGTCAGTCCTCTCACGTCTGTGCTTTTTCGTTTTCAGGGTATGGAACAGTATCCTCCGCACACCCCAGGCCTGGCATGCTCCTGGTCTCCCAGCCGAACTTTCTGACCCTGGTTTTCGCTTTCCCAGAGCCCCGGAGTCTGGAGGATCTTTTCTACCAACTCCTCAAAGGCACACTGGACACCATCTTTGGTCTTTGCACTGGCCTCTGTGTAAGGGAAGAATTTAAGAGATCAGTAAATAAGTAAGTGTGAGCATTTTCCAGCATGCTACCAAAACAAAACATATCAGTCAGCTGACAAACATGACTAATAAAGTATAAAATGACTTCACAAAAGCAGAAGTCATCCATCAGGATGAAGACATCCTTGCTGCAGATGAAAGCTTCAGATTCTTCTTGCCCTGCCCTTTTCAAAACCCCTTAATTTGGCCGTTCTAAAATGGAAACTCTGCACAAACCTTAACCTAATTTACCAGAGAGGGCCAGATTGGAGAGGAGAATCAGGAACACGTGCAGACATGGATTTGATAAATGAAAGCTGGCTAGATTTTAATCATAATGCAGCTCCTCTGAGTGGCCGCGTCTTTCAACAGCAGAGACTCAGAAATGCGCGAGCAGTATAAACAGCACAGCTCATCTCATCTGAACTACACGCATGACTAACTCAATGATGTCTTGGCTTGTTCCAGCTGTGCACTAACAGTCCTGACTTTTAAGCAGCACTACGGTAAATTCTAATAGCTTTAAGTTACATTTTATGGCTCTCTTACTTTAAACGAGCATGACCGGCCACGCCTGACGTTACTCGAACACAGAAACTCACCGATAAAAAGCATCGAGTGTTTCCGAGCAAACTTCAGCCCCTCGTTTCTGTCCACTTCGCGGTCGTCCTGAATATTTAAAAAAAATAAAAACTTGTCATTTGTCCGAATGGTGAGGGAGAATTGTGTACACATCATAAAAGTACAACACAAGACAAGCAACGCTCATTAAAATGCACTATTCTAAGGAGCTCGGAAAGAAAAGCGTCTGGACTTCTTTAAGTTTCCTTGAAGACGTTTCACCTCTCATCCGAGAGGCTTCTTCAGTTCTAAGGGGTAATTGGTGGAGAGTCCCAGATTTTAAGCCCTATGGGAGTGTCTCCAAGAGGGTCATGGACCCCCTAGTGCTCCTCTGCCTAATCACACAACCCAAGATGTGAAAATGGGTATGGGTCACAATCAGCCAAGGTTTCAGGTGAACCCACTGTGAAACCTAGCCTCACCCCATCATGTGACTTAAGCTGGGCATACACTGTGCGATTTTTTCAATCGCACGATTCAGCTCCTGCTCAAACTGTACGATTGACTCGCAGGGGTTAGAAGTTCGTAGGTCACGATGCAGG